GAGTGTCCCAGCAGGCACAGCTCCTCCTGTGCCATGCCCGGCTGGAGGTGGGATGCTCCAGCATCCCCCACGGCCCCACCGACTGCGATCTGTGTTACCGTGGAAAGATCACACACCTCCCTCGCTCCTCCACATCCCCTCCATGGCACAGCAGGAACGGGGGGAAGTCGGGACAGCCAACGTGCTCACAGCTCTGCACAAGGACCCACCAGACACAGGTCCAAGTGGCAGAGTCCCCGTGTGACACAGGGCAGGACTCTCGCCTCGGGGACGTGAATCCCACCCCCTCCTCCTCTGGCCCTGCAGACCCTGTCCCCCACCTCTGCTCCCCCCAGCACAGCCAGGGCCTCCAGTGCCGCGACGGCAGCGCCAGCTCAGTGTCCTGCAGCATCCCCCACCCCTTCACAGGGCGCAATGTCCCTCCCTGCCCCTTCAGCAGATGCGCGGCCGGGCTGGGGAAGAGGGTCCAGCTCCCAAATATCCCCAGCCCACAGGCCACATCCCACTTCACATCAAGGGTCTGTGCTGAGGAAGTCACAGAATCACAGAATTGCTGAGGTTGGAAGGGACCTTTAAGATCATCAAGTCCAACTTAATCTGACAAAACCACTTCTAAACCATGTCCCCAATCCCACGTCTACCCTTTTTTTAAACACCTCCAGGGATGGCGAATCCACCCCCTCCCTGGGCAGCCTATTCCAATGTTTGATAACCCTTTCCGTGAAAAAATTTTCCTAATATCCAATCTAAAGTCCTTGTCCCCATCCCTCGTACCGGCCAGCGTTTCGCCCTCCGAATGGGGCAACAACCCACCAAAGTCCAGCAGCGTGTTGGGAATTTCTCATAGCAAAGATCAAACCCCGATGGGCTGAATCAGGAAACAGGACAAACGAGGCCACTGAAAGCCAACGGGCAAATACTTGAAGAGGGGCTGAGATGTGGAAAAGGCTCTTGGGGACGCGCACCCTAGTAATCACCGTAAAAAGCACAGCACAGCAGTCATGTTCATGGGCTGCCGTCCAGCTCTCCCCCGTACGGTCGCGAGGGGATGAGCCCTTGCCCCAGGCTCTCACCCCCATAGCAAGCCCGGGGACGGTGATCGGCTGTGGGGCAGCTCCCGGCAAGTTTTGTAGGAAAGGGCTCCCAAGCTGCCATCACACATGTAAAAAAAGCCTCAGACGTGGCCGGTTCCTTTGCTTGGGCTGAGCAGCGGTCGCAGCGGGGTGGGAGGACAGACATCCCAAAGCGGTTCCACTCCATCGTTCATTTGGCTCACGACACATTTAACACTACACAAAACAATAACGCACAAAATAAAGAGCAGAGCAACTGCGGGCAGCCGCACCAGCGCACACAGTTGTGCCATGGGCCTTACGATATATGGCGTACCCCTTAAAGCTCACGTTCCAGCCATTTGTTAAAAAAAAATAATTTTAAGCGTATTTTCTAGCCCTTTGATTGCAAATAACTGAAAACACGGCACAAGAAGAGAAAAAGAGCCCCACGCCATATATATTTTCTGATGCTGGATGTTTCTACATCAACTTTGTCATATCTGAGGACAGAGAAGCCGAGGCACGTGCCTGGCACACACGCGCTCCGTTACCCGCTGGAGTCGCACAGGGTAAGGGAAGGTCACACCACCCAGGTCCCTGTGTCCCAGCCCCTGGGAGCTTTTCGGTGGGCACAGGACCGAGCCCTCTGCATCAGAGAACGGTGCTGGCAACCCTGAGGGAAAACTCGAGCCCAGGCAGCGCCTGCCATCGTGCCGCGGCAAAGCCAGCCAGAGGGAAGGACGTGCCGGGGAGGGCACCGGGCGCTGCTGAAGCCGGCGCTGGGCTGCAGCCCTCGGCCTCCTCTGACTGCCGAAGGACTCCAGTTGTGCCCGCAGCAGGGTTTGCCGCCTTGCCCGGCAGCCAGGAGAGTTTTATTGACGTCAAAATGAACGGTGCAGCCCCGAAGCCCGGGAACGAGCTGCTCCACGCTCTTGTCTTGGCTGAGCCCGCAGACACAGCGGCGCGGAGGTGCCAACTGCCCCCAGTGCCGCTTAATAAGGTGTTAACTCCCAGGCCTAATTGTGACCACTTAACATGTCAACACCCTTCACCTCTCTCCTGCCAAACAAGGAGAAGTTTTGAACGGGCACCACTCAGCACACACTCGTGCGTTTGATCCTACGCTGTGTTTTCTTTCCATCTGCCTCCCCTCCATCGCTCCAGATGCGTGTCGGAGTCCCGCTTACCCCCGGCTCCTCCGGTCTCCCTCCCTGACCAGGGCGCTTTCCCAAGCATCTCCTTTCCAACCAGCCGCCTTCCTCCCTCTTTCTCCACACAACCGCACACATAAAGGAGACGTCACTCGCAGCATCCTGAAGTTGCACAGCAAAAAAAAAAATGGCAGGAAATAAAAAAGGTTCGTGTAACAATGTTAACGCAGCTGTAATGAACAGCTAATGTGTGCGTGTGTGTATATATATATAAAACAACGTGCCAGACAATCCCCTCACCAGAAGAGCAGGACACCACACTAATGCCTTTATCTAAATATTACGGGTTCGGCTGCTGGCAGCGCAGGCAGAAGGCAGCGCACACACGTTTGCCACGATTACAGGTGTATTCTTCCAGTTTTCATCAGGAGATTTTTCTGAAGTGCCGTTACCACATCTTCCACCTACTCAACATCGCTCCCATTTTTTTGCTTTTTAAGGCACCGAAGATGAAAAATCAATAAAATTGGTCTCTGTGAGTTTCATCCTCGGCCCCATTTGACACATACAGTTTCGATAATTTTTTTTCTGAAGCTGCTGTTACAAACACCTCTCGTCCACATCCCAACAAACCCGCAGCACACAACCATTATTTGCATGCGTTATTTTTCCTAGAAAAGGTTTGTTCTTCAAGCACCCAAAGCAGACTCAGCCCAGTGACTCTCCCCCGTTGCACTGGGGTGCAGTTCCTATCTCTGCAGAGACAAGCGGGAGCGAGGGGACACGCTCACGGCTGGATGCGTGAGAGCCACCACCAACACTTCCACTCGCAGAGCACCTGCCCGCCAACCCCCCCGAGGCTCACCCAACACCTTCGATATTCTGCAAAGCAGAAAATTCACATAAATTCCACACTAGTCAAACCTTCCCACAGTTTTCTTTCCAAACGCTCCCCTGCACGGCCCCAAGGGATGAGCTCATTCTTCCCTGCAGGTCTCAGAGACCCTTGGATTCAGGGTGGAAACTCATTTTGGGTGATCAGGGGTTTTCCTTACTCACCTCACGCCCTGACCTGGAATTAGGGAGATCTAAGCAGTGGTATCTCCTCACCATCACACCTCCGTGGTCTCCCTGCTTGGCACTGGCTTTGAAGGTCACTTCAAAGCTGGCAGAGCAAGCCACTGCTCCGGAGGGTCATCTGCGCTAGGAGGTGGCAGCAAATTCACCCCCTGAAGTTACAGGGCAGATGCCAGTGCAGCCAAGAGCTTCCAATGCAGATGCTTCCTCTTGAAACTGGGATGACCTTCAAAAAGCGATTGAACCGACTCCAGGCACTTTGCTACTAAACTGGATGCACGTTGACCTACGTGCGTTGGCTTCACCCCTTTGGGGGATGCACCCGAGCTCTCCCCAAGTGATACAGGGGGCACCACCCTGGCTGACAAGGGAGCTGCAGGCTGGGGGACAACCCAGCAAAGCCAAGAACCTTTCCAGCACAGGGGCACCCACCAGCCCCAGAAGAGATCATTTTCTGCAAGTTATGGCCCTGCTGGTTCCCCTGCCCCTTCCCCGCCGGGGAAAGAGCTGACCAAGCTGAGCTCTGGAGAGTGTCTTTTGTCAGGGGTGGCACAGAAGCTGCGTGCAGACACCCCAGAGCCTGGCAAACCCTCTCGTCGGAGAGGCTGAGATGATCTCATCCTCCAACTTATGGCCTAACAGGGCTTGTCCCATCCTTGACCTATTAGAGGTTACATTATGAACAGACCACAACCAAACCTCCTTCCTCGGCCATCCACCTGCCCTAAAGTCCTCCCGTGAGCTGGGAAAACACAGACGAAGGGGCAGTGGGGAATGACTTTGCTCCAGCCCCTGCTCCTGCCGCGTGCCAAGCAGGACACTGCGCTGGAACACTGATGGGCGCAGCGGCTCATCACCAGCCTGGTCCGCACACCAGCAAGGGCACTGGAGCTCCCCTCCACGCATTGCAACGCAGCAATGACCTCAACCAAGCTTCTGCGAGCATCACAAATTAAAGCTCAACTAGAAAGGAGGAAGGGGAAGGAGAACCTGCAACATGTTCAGCTCCATGGGAGAGAGGAGGGAGGGTGTGGAGGAGATCAAGGAAGGGGAAAGCAAGGTTTGGGAAAGTAGAAGCCAGACAGCAGAGGGATTTCGCTCCACTTTGCCAGCGTTGGGAGCCATCGCCCTGGGCGCTCAATGGGGTTGGGAACGGCGAAACCCGATCGGCCGTTAACCCAGGAATGCGTGGAAATGGCAACTGCGCATAACTCCGGGGAATCCGCCACCGGTGCCCCCAGCACCCGGAATTGCACGAATAACCCGCGCGCTTCGCGCATGAGCTCATCCCGGGGATAATACCCTCGCATGAGCCCAGCCGGCAGGAATTCGCCGCACGCTCTGCGGGCTGGGGGGGGGGCTAGGGGGGACACCCTTCTCCTCCTGCTCCTTTCCCCTTCCCCTCCCGCCACCGCCCCACATTTCCCACGGATCACGCGTTGCTGCCTGGGAGCACACGCAGGTCCCAAAAGCCCAGCGAGCCGCGCTCGGCCTCCCCCTCTCCCAACGGGCAGGAGAGCTGGCAGTCTCCCTTTGCAGGGCTGCGGAGAGGTGCCGGGGGACCTGCTTGACCCCATAAAACACTATAAAGTCAGAAGGAAAGGAAAGGAGAGGAGAGGCATCTGCACTCCCGCAGCCCGAGCACCAAACCTGCTTCTTTGTGCTCCTCCAGCCTGCTGGGATAGGGGAACGGGAATGTCTTCTCTGTTTTACCCACATTCCAGCTGCTGGTGGTGCTTTGTGCACCAAGCGGGACTGGGAGGGCCCCTGTTCCAGCCCTGGGAGCACCTCAGACAGCATCAGGTGTTGTACCGCTCCTCGCAGCACCGCATCCATGCGGCTTCTCTCCTCCCCTCTGCTTTCACCGTAGTCTGCCTCATGGAAAGAGACTGAAATCCATGGGGGTCTCCTCTCCCTGCAATCCATCCTGCTCCCCAACACAACAGCTTCCTTCTCCCCAGCAGCCAATGACCCATGGAGGAGCCGCAAATCTTATTTGCGTATTCTGTTCCTCTCTCTCCTAACCGAATCAGCCCCAGACCCCGCTGTCTGCCGAAACCGATAGTAAAAATCCCACGGAGCCGGAACAAGACTTGACCCACGGTTGGGGGATTAGCCGTGCTCCGCAGGGCAGACATCCAGGTGGTCCGTGAAGCCAGCCCGGCTCACAGATGACACATTCGTCACCTTTCAAGCACTGACACCTCCTGGCTTTTCTGGGGACCAGCTAAGACTAACAAGGGAAAGTCAAATGGGACCTGTCTGCCCCTTCCACACCTTGACGTGCCTCTCCCAGCAAGCAGCTGTTCCAAATCCATCTTCTGGTGTGAACCAAGAGGAAACAAAGCCACCACAATGGGAGAGAGAGCTCAGAACTGCAAGGCCAGAATTCAAGCTGCAGATACCGGGGACACGGGGCTGCTGGTGCTGAGGGTACTGGGACCGCTGCCAACCGGGTAGCTCCAAGGGCCACCATCAGGTCAGGGGGACCAGAGTCAGCCCTCCCAACAGCACCCCAGCAGGCCCCAGTGCTCAGCTGGGTCCTGCTGGGGCGAGTCCCCATCCCAGAACGCAGAGCCTGGTATGGGTTGCTTTGCACAGGGGCAAAGCATTTACGCCCAAGGTCAGATAATCTTAGTTTTGGATGCAATTCTGGGCTTTTTGAACTGCCTCCAGAGAAGAGGGATCTTCTACCTTTGAACTGAATGATCCAATCTTTCAGCGAGCGCTCCACCACTGAATCCCTCCCCTCCAGTGGCTCAGCTCCGGAGACTCTGATGTCGCTCACCCTGGAAATGCCAGGGCAGGAACAAAATGAGCCAGCCCAAAAATAGCTTAGTTGTGACAAAGGTGCGGGCTGTGCACGCGAGGCTGGGTCCATAACGTGTTCCTCCTCCGGCTGGACAGCCCCGAAAGAGCCCCGGAGATGCAATTTAATGTGTCAGCAGAAAGACAGTTTGCTTTACACCTGGACAACTCTGCTCAAAGTGGTGCCACGTTGGGCTGTGGGTCTCCTGGAGACCCTTAATGTCCCCCCACCCCCAGGAGCATCCCACGGAGAGCTCCTGACTTCTCCTCCAGCCCAGGGCTCTCCCCTCCCACGGGGAGCACAGCACAGGGACTGGCTGGGGACCCAGGGGCGGACAGAGCTGGCAGCGGGAAGAGAAAGCATCAAGGCTCAAGCTGCAAAAGGAGCAAGAAAACGAAAAGTTAGGGCAAGTAAATGGAAAGCTGAGAGGTGAAACAACAGCAGGACCAAAAACCCAAGAGACAGAGCCAGCAGAGGACACAGACAGTCCATCCTGGGAAGAGGGTTAGGAGCAGATGCAGAGTAGGGGTAGCTCCTGCGTTTGACCCCTTCGAGCCTCGGTCCCACCCCAAAGCTGCATTTCTGCTTGATCACCAGTGCCTGAGACACGGAGCAACAGGAGATGCTTTTTTCTGCCCTGGGGGTTCCCAGCCTTCTGCCCCAAAATAATTACCCATACCACGTCACAGCCAGTAAACTTAGATTTTCCCCAAAGCCGGCCAAGAGCCCTGAGCGAACTGTCGGCATGTGAGACAGCGCACGGCCCACGAGGAGGATGCTTCGGAGCCCGGGGTAACCGGACACCCGGCTGGCTAATGAAGGGAAAGTGATTTATCCCTTTCCCGGGAGAGTGGGGATCAGCGTGAGCCCCCCCCTGCGGGGTGGGGGGAGCAGCACCCCAGGAGACCCCGTGAGCTCAACAGATTCCCCAACGCTGTTTCCAACCCGCAGACGAAAGCCGTGCCAGCCCCTTCCCAATGTGCCGGCGGCGGCCCCGCGGTGTGCCAGGCTCCTCGTGACTCGCCCCGAGCCAGACGCCAGGAGACAGAGTTACCGAAGTCTCCAGAGAGCCAGGCAGGAGGCGAGGAGGAGGAGGAGGAGGAGGTGGAGGAGGAGGACGAGGACGAGGGCTCATGGGGGGACTCGCCGCTCCAGCGCGACACCTAAAGGACTCCTCACATGGATGCATGAGGAGGGTTTTTCCGCTGCATCCCGGCTCTGGCTTGATCCCTCCGGCTGTAGGCACCGGTGCCAGACACAGGCGCAGGTGGCTGAAGCGCTGTGGCTCCTGCCCACACTCAGAGGAGATTTAGGTGACGCTGGGCTTAAAATACCAGAGGGACTGCATATGCCTCACCTATGTCAGCACTACTGCCAGTCAGCGCTGCCAGCGGACGGGGTAGGGGGACGCGGGGTGTGCAGCGAAGCTGCCCCCAGCACTCCCAACGGCAGCCCCATTTGGGGACAACTACAATGTCCCCAAAGGGGAAGGGAGTTTGGGGCTGGCATCAACGTCTCATTGGCTCTCTGCCCTCCCCAGGGGCTGCAGAAACAGCGGCTCTGCCCCTTGCAGACACAACCAAACCTGGCCAAAACATCCCAAAGCAGACACGCAGGGATGAAGCCGCAGGACGGTTTGCAAGGCGAACGCACGTGACGCACGAGGAGCCGCGGTTGGGCTGCAGGAGCCCCAGCGGAGTTTTCATTTTATTTTATCCAGACTCATGGGCTGGTGCCACGTTCTCCTTTCAGGGAGCACCTGCTGGAAAGGAACGAAACTATAAGCTGAGGAGGAAAATAGGTGAGATGGAAAGGTGAGGTGCGCAGCAGGTGCTGGAACAGAGCCGAGAGCCAGCAGCCCCCACACCTGAGCACTTCTCTTTCTTCCTATTGCACATAGTGCTTCCTGGCGCTTCTCCGCCCACCGTTAAACACCTGGTGGGAAAGTCCCACGAGGAACTTCGCAGGTATCAAACTATTAGGCTGCTCAATAAATTATTTTGAAACCTACAGAACTGATTATTCCCAAGAGTCTTTTCTGCGTTTCTTCTACACCAGCCTGAAATGTTCCTTGGCAGGTGCAAATTTCTGTACTAAATTCCAAACAAAGACCTATTCCTAACAAATTACAGCAATTTCCTTGCACCGAGAGAGGTTACAGCACGAGGGCCTCACCCCATCTAAATCCTTTGAGACCCTCCCATTTGCCCCAGTCAGACCACAACCTTATTTTTATTAATGGCAATGGGATTTTCGGACCAACCCCAGCCTCCAGGAGCAGAGGTGGTCTGGTCTGGGTACTTCCTCCCCTGAAGCAGTGCAGGTGATGAGCCAACCGACCGTAAACAGGACTTTCACACTAGACCTCAGCCCGAAAACACCCACGGGTGCTGCCAGTGCACAGCAGGCTGCCCCCCAACCCCTCTCCCTCCCCTCCCCATCCAGCCCCTCCCTGCCGCACCTTGGCACAGATCGGTTTTCAGAGGAGGGAAATGAGATGCTCCAAGTGCCTCCCAAACCGCTGCCCAACGCCACCAGAGAAACAGTCATTACAGCTGCTTTCAGTGCCTGACTTCACCTATAGCTGGGTGCACACCCCAGGGATGCTGCTTCCCCCCGCCCCCGCCGCCATGCACAACACCGGTGGCTGCTGAGCAATGCTGGCAGCGCCCGCGCACCACGGGCAGCCCCAGCACCAACCCGTGCCACGGAGGGAGAGGAAAGGGCTTGCTGGCCACTGCCGAGCAAAGCAGGGGCAAGGCGAGCAGCACCGGAGGGGAGGAGAAAGGCTGCAGGATGGGGCGACCTCGTTGCCCCCAGATTTTTCTTAAGACTCAGAGACAATGGCGCTTTCCTGTGGGCAGAGCAGCAACACCCACCACGGAACCCACCGTTTCTGAGCACGGGAAATCTTAATAAACATTCCCTAGCAAGGGAATTAGTCGCCTATCGCCTCTTATCGGGCAGCGGGGGGAGAGGAGCGGGTTTTGTGCCTCGCTGGGAGAAGCATCGCATTTCCAGATCCTGGCAATCACCTTTGGGGAGGGAACAAGCAGCACCCAACAAAATCTATCCATGAGCATCACCCGTGGTGAGCGGGCACGGCTCATACATACGTTAGTGCATGTATACATCAAGATATATGCTGACAAGGCAACGTCCCATGCTTATTAGAGGGAGAGGGAATCTAGCCCGCTAATTACATGGGCTAATTCACTCATCGAAGGCCAGAGTCGTCCCTCGTGCGTGGTGTCAGTGTGGGGGTGGAAGGCGGCCGGGAGCCCCTCGCAGCCGTGGGGGACCCGCCTCGGGTTTCACGGCTCGGGGGAGCGGGGCAGCGCTGCCTTCCCCGCCAGTGGTCTCCCGTTTCTAAACACCTCGCTTTCGTCTGCCGGGGTTGCATCAGCTCCCGCGCTCGTATTTATAACCGGGTTTTAAAACCTGATATTCCATTTCCAGTAGCTCGGTGGGGGTGAGCTGAATTCACAGGGCCCCCAGCCAAGCAGCTGCTGCCAGCGTGATCCCTCTTCCCTTCACATCCTGCTCAGAAAAGCTCCCCACCGTCAACCTGGTGCCACGGCTTACTGGCATGGTCTCTTTAATTAGCTGACCGAGGCACGAGGCAGGTCCTCATTAAAGAGATAGCTGATTGAGGCTGGGTGAGGGGGACGAGGAGCTTGGTTGTGTTTTACACCGTGCCGGTTAATTGAATTGTGTGCACGCTTAGGCACATCACTCCCTCCCTCTCCCAGCACGTCTTACCACCAGCCTGAGGCTTTCCAGATTCAAAAGACCCCCAAAAGCTATTTTTAAACCGACAGATGGGTGGGGAAGGGGCTGGCCCCAGGGAGGGAGGGGAGTCCCTTTGGGAGAGCAGGCTCCAGCCCAGGCACAGCCTCTCCTTGCAAGGGGAGCCGTGGGCTTGGAGGAGCTGGAGGTCCTTCTCCTGTGGAGATCAAAGGCGGCTGAGAGGTCCCTGGACCACCACCGGGTTCTCCCCCACTTTGTCCCCATGCCGGGGCAAAGG